TATAAAGAACCCTTATCGTTAAAACGATTACTAAAATTACACGATCTCCACCACATATTAATTCTAAATATTTATGATGGTAAACATTATTCGTGAGTAAATAAGAAAAGATTTATGTATAAATATTAATATCAGATACACACAAACATTTCTAAGCATTGTCAAGAGCGACATATTAATGTAACGTAATGTTGATATAAAATTTTATAATCATTTCTTTATATTATTTACAAAAAATCAAAAACAAATCCATTAAAACCACGATAACGACAGACTAAACAAATATATTATCATATTGCATTGACAACATTATTAAAATATCTCTAAATCAAATGTTCTGGAATACTAATAATATTAATATGTTATACACAACTATAAACCACTCAGAAAAATAATATTTATATTATATAGTAGACGTTAATCGTCGACATAATGCATTTTTTTCATCACAAACATTATTTTATTAACATAATTGTTTTCGTTGAATTTAGCACTACCAAATAAAGACGGTTTTTTTTTTTGGTGTAACCATTTTTAAATTTTTAAAATAATACACTATAGATTTATAAAAAAAAATTACTCGATGACTCAATGTATCAGTAACACTTGATTGAGAAGTTTTGTAAACGATTTACTGAAAATGTCAAGTAAAATTGTGAATGTTAGAAGTATTTTCCGGTAACAATAAAAACAATCAAAAAAAGTAATTTCCAAACAAACAATCGCGCACCAAATTTGAACAAATGACAACCGACAAAGAGTAATAAGGATTATCCGGTTGCACAGACCAGCAGCCGGAACACAACGCCCTTGTGTTTAGGCTTCAATGAAGATCTCGAGATCAAAAACACCAGCTGGTGGCTTTAATTAAAACAACGAATGAACTAAACAACGTTTGTACACATACAGGGAATTTCGGGTGTATTAATAAATTTAAAATGTTAGAATAGTTACATCTTAAATGGCTATCAAAACGTATTAGATTATGAATTTTTACAAGGCAGCAAAACATAACAATATTATGTAATTACAAATTACCCTTAAGTTTTTAATTTAATTTTGTTTTGAATAAAATACACAAACATTTTTAAAATAAAATGAATTGATTTATAACTTTTTAGTCAAATATTTTGAATTTAGAACAGCAAGAATAAGCAAGAAAATGTAAAAAATATTCTCATAAATAGTTACAATATCTAGCACTGTTTATTTATTTGTTTTGTGTTGCTTGTCATTCTTGAAGATATGATGCATATAAACTTATAAACTACTCGTATATACATTAATAATCAATATGAGTATTTAAATTAGCAATGACACGACATGTAATATGTTCAATAATATGTTAATATACACAAGCGTAGTATTTACAATCATTATAATATTATATAGATACAACTACGAGTATACTGAATTAAAATTCAAAACATAATGTTCACACATTAGAAACACGTATTTATATTGTTGTACGGCGATAGTGGGTACATTTTAAACGTGCTAACTCTTTACAAGACGAGATTATTTTGGTATATAAATATACTAATTTAAAATAATAAAAACCTTCTGAGTTCTACTCAATATAAGTTATTTATATCTTACAACATCCAAAATGGGTTAATTAACTAATTTCAGTAGCCCACTTACATACTTACTAATATAAATTTTGTTTCCATTTTGACTTGGGAATTTTCAATTTAAACAATTTGTTAATTTTAAACAAGATTTTATTATTTATAAATGAAATATATAAAATAATAAGAGCTAAACAATAAACTTGCTCATATATTAATATGTATATATGTATACAGCAAGTGGCGTATTTTTTTTTTTTGAGGGAACCCAGTCTCGACCCACCTCAAAAAAAAAGAAACATTCAAAAATCATAAAGACTTGCTACGAAGGTACAGAGAAAGAGAATATTTATTTAAATATATCATTTAGTTATAAATAACTCTTCAATAAATTTATAATAATAATAATAATAATAATAGTAATAGAATAATATAATTATTAATTCCTACTTTATATGTATTTTATAATATTACAAAATCACTTATTTTTTAGAAAAATTTTAAAACCTCCTTCCCAAAAAGTTTGAAAATACGCCACTGTATACAGCGATTTATTCATTAACAAAGAGTCTAATATAATTTAAAACTAGTTAATGACTTTTCATTTTTTAAAATTATATACACAGATTAAAATAATAAGACAGCGAATTTTATCAAAGATAATAATAGTAAAATAGAATATACCCAGGGGTTATACGTTTTTGACATTAAATGTATATCAATAATGGTGAAAATCGCATGGGTGTAGGATTTAATCAGTTATATTACTTCCCACGAACTAGAAACTAACAGGTAACGTGGGTTTTGTTTATGTCGATAAAACCTGTATACATTGGCCACCACCAAAATATATACGACTTCAATGTTTATATTGCAAAAAGAGTTGATTTTTTTTGTTATGTAATAATTAGGTACTACTAATAGTGCCGAGAATATATTCCATAAACAATGTTAGATTTGGTATGATATTATGACATTACAAAAAAATAAATGTAAAGACATAGATTACACGCCTCTATAAGTAACAAGTCAAAATATTATTATAGTTTTGATATTTTTATGTTTATATTTTTTGTGATTAACTTTTATATATGCTTAAATACCTATGTAGCTCGTTACAGAATTTTAAATGTCATCTTTTGTCATCTGATAATCAGTTTAACACGAAAAAAAGTTGTGAAGACAGAAGATGCATCTTATTTCAACATGTAAGTAGGTCCCTATCAGTTGAGATATCAGTTTATGCAACAAACATAACTAGGTAGGTAGATACATTAAATTTAATCACAAATACTGCCAAGTAGATTTATTTTCATTCGTCCTTCCAAATAATATTATTTTGACCATTAAAAAAAAATCTTTGTAATTTTAATATTAGAATATACCCCCAACGCCCTAATTGAATTTTCAATTTCATTGTCTAGAAAACGTATCATAATAACATAAAATATGAGCTGCGTCTTATATTTTTGTAAATTATTAAATTATTATGATGTTATGAAAATATCCAAATACAATATTTTTTTATATCTCATATCATTTTATCTTTATATGCAAATTTTAAATTTCAAACATAGTAATACCGAAATTGTACAGTATCGAAAAACTAAAAAAAAATGTTTAAGGAATTTACAGACATTTTATTTTTAAAATAAACTACAATAAAACGATCAAGCTACATTTCAGGTAATAGCTGGTATAGGTACTGGGTCTGAGCTATCGAGAGTTAATTTATTTTCAGTACTTTACACGGATTGTATAAATTACTTAATGCATGTTCATCGGAAATTTTATAAAACTACTAATCATTTCATATCAGTCTCGTACACTCGGTCACATAACACAAATAAACTTTTTAGAAAATTTCATTTGTAACAATGGCATTTGTTTCAAACACTGTTACAATATTCAAAATATTCACTTATATTGATGTGTCAAACGTTTTTGTTTCATCATTAAAAACCTAAAATTTGACGCCCATCAAATATGAACATAAAAAAAATACCATCAACTAAAAAAATCACAATATTATATATTTTGTTACCTACTGGTAGAGTAGTATTTGATTTTATTTAGTGAACTAAATTATCGTCTCTATATTTGTATTACTCAAAGGATTATCTACACCATACTATTTATACATCGGTCTATTTACAATATATTTACCTACATGCTACGTCGTTATCATTAAGTACGGACAAACTATCAACGACGAATTAGATAGGTAGGAATTTCTAAAATATTTTTGATTCATAAAATATATCGAATCTTCTTTGTAACGCATAGTGGTGTGGTTATTATAATATATAATTCATGAAACATAATATGTGAACATTTAATTAAATGACGTAAAAGGCGATTTTTCAAATAGCGTAAAAGCAAAAACAATATGTTTCGACTGTCATGACGTAATATTTAAAATCATTTTAATGAACAATTACGAAGATATATCGTTCGTTTAATACAACGTAGTTAGAAAACAACAGATGTTTCGTTAATTTCTGACTAATTAAAACCAAGAGTACTGCCCACACAAAACGTACGTACGCATGGACACGAGTGATAAACACACGTATAAAACACTATACTTATATAATAGACACATATTTAAACATATACATACATAAAGTTTCACGAAAAGCAATACCTACAGCGTCGCGTCGGCGTTGTATACATCTCTCTACAATAGACATAAACACATACACACACACACATACAAATTCATCCCGAAGAGACATTCTTATAAGTCACACGTGGTACACTACCGTGCACGCATACATGGGTACATAACATACAGTTTATTTTATACCTATACAGTTAAGGCATAACACCAAAATGGACGCAAGATCATTAACGCTTACGTATTTTTGTCTAGGTATACGTGGAATGCACCAGACAATCCGTCGCATTCTTTACAAGGTTGTATTTATGTGTACTCGATACGTCCGTCTACACACTAATATGAAAAAAATTACCCCGGAATCCGACGCACAGGAAGAGACCATATGGAGGTTTTCACGGCCCAGTGATTCCGAAAAGAATTTTCACAGCTCTTACTACTAGATAATAATAATAATAATAATATTTAATGTATAAGAGATACACTTGACGCGCGGAATGTGGGAAAACGTCGTAGAGATGATTTTATTTTTGTATTTTTTTATTTATTATTATATATATATATATATTTTTTTTTTACACCATCATCAGGTCGGAATGTTCCGACGATGACACGGAGCGACACTTGCGCGCGTTTGTGTGTGCGTGCGATAGACGTTCGAAAAAAAATGCATTTACGTCTCATTAGGAAATGGTATTAGGATCGAAAAAAAAATAAAATAAAATAAAAATAAAAACCCAAAAGAGACGAACCAACCGCCGTGGCGATAAATACTACGATAAATACGATGTAAACGTTGTGATCGTTACCTGGACGTGGAGATATGTGAAACCCTGAAAACGGCACGGAGGTTTCTCTTCGGCGGCTGTGGACGACGGGGAAAGAACGAGAAAATTGGAAGAGAAAAAAGAAAAAAAAAAACGAATACGCTTCGGACGGAACGCGAACCGGTACGGTACGGCGTGCGCGCGAGACTGACTGCGTGCGTGTGCGCGCCCGTTTGTTGTGACGACGAAACCGGGCGGCGGACACGCGGATGAAAACGGTGGCGGACGAGCGGTGACGAGAGCGGACAGGGGCGCGCGCGACGGATCGGAGCGATGTGCCGTCCGGTACGAAACGCACATGTCGCGGCGGCGGCGGCGGCGGCGCGGCGGCGGCGCGAGTGAGTGTGGGACCCGGCGCCGTCGACCAGTGCGGCCACGCGGTGCACCAGAAATACTGTTCCCCTCGACTCTTCTCTCGCCCTATCGCCGGGACGTTCCGAAATTGTCGGGGTTAACCTCCCCGCGGCATTGTCGTCGGGCGGACGATCGATCACACGCGATTACCAGTCCACATTCATTATTGGAACATCTTGATAACATCAGCAATGATCGACGGGGCTCTAAGCCTCCGGGCCCTCTTCACCATCGGGACAGCGTGTAACGTCGAAAACTGAATCGTTATTTTTCCTTCCCGATCGTCCGGATCGATGTTCCCTGTGGTTTTTTCGTTGGCCCTGAAAATCTGAATGTCCGAGTCCGTCTTCAGTTGATAGCGTTGAAAACGGTTTCCTTATAGTGAGCTCCAAGTAATATCGCACTTAGGCCCTAGAACCATCAGCTTACCTCTGCTTTTCACCTCTACCCACGAGCTTACGACACTATAATAGTATTACAGGGCCAGTGTTTGGGAAGGCAGTTCTGAACATTATGATTCAAGCAAAACTTACATCCTTATGCTCAAAATATACAATAATTGGTTAATTTTATTAATTATCTCGGTACCGGAAGTCACCGCATTAACCTCAAACAAATTAAAAACATGATTTTTTAAAAGAACAGCCGAATACATAGAAATAACAAAATCTCATAGTATGATCTTATCAATGTTTCTAATCAATAACACATATTTCTAATATTTATTGTAAATAGATAATCGTTAATTTATGTAACTGTATTGTGTAACATTAACCACGTCCAATCAGGTTTAATTGTGCAAACCCACATTAAGTCAATTATTGTTTAAAATGAATTGTTATTTAAAAAATTATTAAAAGGTAATTTGTGTTGGTCTGGTACCCAAATCGTGCCATGGAGTTCGTAAGTAGTAGGTAATATTTTCATCAGAAAACTATATTCTATAACAATAATTGTTAATTATTTAATAATTTAATTATTAAAGCCATTAAAGGTCTTACACCATCGTAATTTGGCCTTATTGACGTACATTCAATCTCATTGCTTACGAACAATATTATTGAATTTAATTTATAATACTTTTACATTCAAATATTAATTAATTATGTTTCTTATTAATAAAAGAGTTTTTATATAAATTGTTTTATTCTTAATACAGCCATGTTTTTTTTTTTTTGCTTATTTATGATTGTATACTTTTGAGAACATTATGCATGTTATACTTTAATTACTAAATTAAACCAATTTAAATAATATTGTGAAAATTAAGTAAAATTTTAATTTAATTTTTAATTAGTCCTGATGTTTATGAATCTGTTAATTGGTGACTATTTAAAAAAGTTGTTTGTCCCATTAGTTGTTGAAAAATATTAAATTAGAATCCAATAAATTACCTACACATATATTAGATGACAAACAATTATTATTACACGCGCAAACAGTGGCGTAGTTACTAATTGATAAAATATATGCATGGGCTACTAAAAAACTTATAACATAATGTTCATTAATCATTAATGCACTTCCCTTTCAATCAACTCTATTTTTTTAATTTACTTGAAAAAAAGGTCCAAAACTAATTAATAAGTCAATTTATCTTGTTGATATTTTCCCATGCTACTCCTGGCAAAGGTTTTGGTAGACCCAATTATTACTCTCCATATGATAATAAAAAATATTTTTTATATAAACGACTGGATGTTATTAAAAGTTAAAAAAATTGAGCATATATGTATAATCTATTTATACTGGCTTAATATTTTAACTGTTTAAAAATGATAATTTGTCCATCACTTGCGAACATTCGGTAAGGTACATTCAGGGTCAGATTAAGAAATTTTGCACCTCAGGGTAAACTTCCTTAAATTCAGAACTTTTTTCTGTAATAGTTTTTTTTACTCTAAATGGTATCTAGATTATTTAAAAACTTTGCGCCTTTAAAATCTTGCGCCCGGGAGCAGATGCCCTCCTGCTTCCTCTTCCTTTAATCCGGCTCTGGATACATCTAAATTATAGTAAGAAGTGTAAACCGTTTAGGTATGTACTTATACATAGAAATACTTAGAAAAAATTAAAATATCATGAACGCAGAAGTTTCATAGGCAACTATAACTAATCGGCAATTATGTAAAGGTAAGTTATTTTTTTTCCAATCGAAAATTCGATTTGTAAATGTATTATATCGGTTTGAGTCATATTACTCATATTTCTTTTTAGTTGTTGATTTATATTATTCAATTATAATTATATAATTATTTATTTTATTCATTTAATACATACAAAATAAGTAATTATATAGAACCCCCTATTCATATGTAGTCTCTTTATAGCCTGTAGATATAAAAATATTTAGTAGAGGGGTGAGAGCACTAAAAATGATTTTTGGCATCGGGCGCTAATTATGCTAGGCACAGCACTGGTGGTGAGACTAAAACCAGTACAAAAAGATCTCTTGATCTCGACAGGGTTAAAGTCACGTCACCCAAACCACGATTTTATACGTCTTAATCGGGAACTGACATTGTGTGACATGATTTGTGTATAATTATAAATTAAAAATGAATACTTGCTCTATGCAATGTGAATATTTTTACAAATATAATTTGTAATAATTCAATTTTACCCATTATCTTTTCTGAACAAAGTTCAATTGTAATAAATTACCTAAAAATGGTATATAATGTTCTTAAATATTGAGAATCTATACCAAAGTATGAGTATATTTACATATCAACTTACACATAATTTCCACATTACCTTCTAATTGGTTTAAAAAGCATTTTCAATAAACTTTATAATACCTAATATAACAAAATCATAGAATTGCGAATTGTAAAATATACCTTTAGGCTTAGTAAATATTATTTTTTTGTTTTAACTACACTATAAAATATAAAATTATTTTCAGAAAAAAGTAAATAGAATTATAATAAACAAATTATTGTAACTTTTCATTACCTATATTATAGGTCCTATAATATGGAAAAAATATTCATTTCATAATCTCCTATCAATTGAAATTACATCAAAAATTATTTACTTGTGATAGGTCTATCTATTTATACTTCAAACAATAATAATATTAAATATAATAAAAATAATAATTACAAACCAAAATTATGGAAAACTAGTTTTATACTTTTATCATAATTAATTATAGTAAACCACGCTCCACTCGCATTCATTTTTAAGATGAAAGATTTATCATTGCTTTCAAATTCAAAAACGGCCCACCCAACTTCTGTAACACTACATCTGACAGTGTTCTACGCTGAAGAGACTATGAACACTTTTAATGTAATAAATCATAGCTATTTACTGCTTAGAGTTATAAAAAAAAACCCGAAATGATTATTTTATATAGTAAATAATAATTATATTTTTTTAAATCTAGTTTAAAGATTGACCAAGGAGTTTTACGGTAATTCTTTTATTTATAAAAAAAAAACACTTACAGTTAATAGTACAGTTTTCTAAAAGCGTTTTCATAGAATAATGAAACTATACAAAACGTGCTTCAATTGTTTAGAATTGTTAAACTGTTGAATTATTTTCATTATGTATCGATATTTTTTATTTGTTTTAAATAAGAACTAAAACAGTTATTTCATACTATTACTGGTATATAATTGTCAATCGACCAACTCACAAGGCAGTATCTACCTACTATAACATTGAAATTATAAAGAATTTCTTAGTACAAACATATAATCCGGCAGTGGCATAGCTGATGGGTGAATCGCCCTCGCCTTGGAATTTTTTATTGATATTGTTTTAATCACGGTTGAAATCTATAGTTTATAGCTAATAAAATAATATAGTATTTAGACCTGTGATATTTTTAAATCGACACCCTTTCCTTAATTGTGCTCCAACTACGCTACTGTAATTCGTGTGACCGGGTCATGTCTCATGAACCACAACGTACATTAATACCTCTTTAGTAATCTATTGAAAAATGTAAAATAATGATTTATTGTTTACTGATAAATTCAATTCATGTTATTCACTGTGGTAAATAATTTAATGAATTTCATCAAATTAGTCGGTGAATGGGCTCATTTTCTCAGTCCTCACTGATATACGAAATAATAAATTATCAATGCCAACCTTCTATTATATAAAAAATATTATACCTAATCGTCGATAAAATCGGGCGATACGTATAGTTTAAACTGTATAGTATACTGTAGAGTACTTAATTTTAATACAACATTGATACATTTTGGACAAATCGAGCAGTAATCTGTAATGTCACCATATGACACCCATTTGAATGCGATGAATACCGCGTTGAAATTAAAAACAATAATATTATACTATGTACACTGTTCCACACCGCTGTGAATAAAGCAAGACGACGAGTGACCAACGCCTGCGGCTATAGTAGTAATTTGTTTATCACCTTTTCATGTCATTTTTATTGTTCAAGGTAGAATATTTTTGTAAAGTATTAACTATACATGTTTAACAAAACAATATTTAGTAATAGTAATGAGTTAAAATGTTTGAATAAATAACTTTAATGGCGACTGAGCCTATTTTGGAAGTTCGTTGGTGCGTGGGTCCTAAAAACTAGTTCCCAGTCGAATAAAATTTGCCCGTGCGACATTGATTGCGTACTAATGATACAAAAAATAAAATCTTACCACCTGATTTCATCGCTCTAGGCAGCTACCTACATTGTCTCGATATCGGCATATAAGCGTTTACGTGTTTAAATAAACTGTTATAAAGACGCATGTAATAGAATAACTACATTCAGAAACATTATAACCTCAATGGGAAAATTCGTTGACCACTTGACTGCTCCAGCTGGCATGTGGTGTACGTTAATCTATACGCAATAATCGAATTTTCGAATTCAAATTAGTGAAGGTTGCTCATTGAAATATGTTCAACGCTAAAAAAAAACGT